CCCCTCCCTCGGGGCACAGCTAGGAGCCCGCCCCCCACCGCTCTGGATCGCTCTGCAAACGCGCTATTTCCCGGGCGCGTCAGCGGCGGGTTCCAAGCCCGGGTTCCAAGCCCGTGTTCCCGCGCGGGAATGTTTAGGGCTGGTGGGGGTTACGTCATCCGGCCCCAAGACCCGGAAGTTCCCTCCGGAGGCGGCTCCTGCACTTCCGGCGGCGCTGAGGACGTTAGAGCGGCGAGCGCGGTTTTTGGTGACTGGCCTACCGCCATTTCCGTTAGTTCGGCCCCCGGCTGAAGGGCTAACTCCGGTTTCCAGTGGAAGCCCATCCCCGCTCGCAGAGGCGCTCCGGCGCGCCCTCTGCCCGGGCGGCTCTAAGGTTGAATTCCCTCCTCCCTTTTAGCTAGGTAGCTAAGGTTGCTCGGACGCCATTACTCGTCGTTAGGTCTCAGGGACGTCCCCCGGGGGTGGATTTCTTCTGGCTTTGTTTAGTATTCAACCCCACCCACCGGAGTCTCTGGGCCGGCCAGGTCCTCTCCCTCTCCCTTGCCCTGGATCCTTATGCGGCTGCGGCTGCATAAAACATAGCAATGCCCCTGCCAGCGATTCCTCCCCCGCTTCCCTCCCCCACCCCGTTCTCCTGTTCCCTCAGGGCCAAGGCCTTTCTGGAAAGCTCGACTGTTAGGTTTAACCTAGTGCTAGAAGGTTCGATTTTCTCTGTCGTTCTGGAGAGAGATTTAAAGACTTAAAGGATGGGTTCCTGCTGGTTTGTTCCCTAAGCTTCTGGAAATTTTCACTGTGAGCATTCCTGGCGTTTTTTCTTCGCGTTTAGGCTATTTTGGTGCAGATGTGTGTACGCCCATCCCATAATAATTCCATACTTCCAAGCGTGTAATTACATCCAGGCAACACATTCTAGGACCCTACTCTTACTGTAAAAGCTTATATATGCCCGCGCATGCATATATATACATACATACATACATACATACATACACACACATGTATTTGGGGTTTTTTTTTTTTCGAGACAGGGTTTCTGCATAGCTTTTGGTTCCTGTCCTGGAACTAGCTCTTGTAGACCAGGCTGGCCTCGAACTCACAGAGATCCCCCTGTCTCTGCCTCCCAAGTGCTGGGATTAAAGGCGTGCGCTGCCACCGCCAGGCTTTATATTTGTATGTATATATGTGTGCATACACATACTCAAGCGTTAACAGTAAAAATGTATAAGCATTATACTTGCATCATATGTTCTGGGACTGAACTCCAACTGACAAGAAATTTGATCTGAATTAGAATGTGTTATAAATGTAAAGCACATCAGAGTTTTTGAGAATTATTAACACACAAAAATTAAAACACCTGTTGATATCAGATTTTGAAAGGACAGTATTGGGGTGTGACCTGGGTGTAGCTCAGTGGTAGAGCACATTTTAGTGTGCACAAGACCTTGGGTTTAAGTCAGGACCAAGAGGGGTGCACCCACCCACTGTGACAGTGGGGCTGATCTATTGGGAGCTCACCAAGGCCAGCTGGACTGTGACTGAAAAAGCAGGGGATAAAACCGGACTCTCTGAACATGACGAACAATGAGGGTTGCTGAGAAGCCAAGGACAATGGCATGGGGTTTTGATCCTACTTCATGTTCTGGCTTTGTGGGAGCCTAGCCAGTTTGGATGTTCACCTTCCTAGACCAGGACGGAGGGGGGAGGACTTTGGACTTCCCACAGGGCAGGGAACCCTGACTGCTCTTCAGACTTGAGAGGGAAGGGGAGAGGAGTGGGGAGAGGGGGAGAGGAGTGGGGGGAGGGGGGGAAGCTGGGAGGAGGCGGAAATTTTTTTTTCTCAATGAAAAAAAAAGAAAAAAGACCTTGGGTTTGATCCCTAGCATCCCATTTCTCTAAAGGAAAAAATATTTTAGATATACTGTGCCAAGTAAAATTATAATTAATTCCATCAGTTTTCTAACACGATTGCTATCCAATTTGAAAAATTGTTTTTGTGACTTGAAATCTTTCTGTGGGACAGGATTGCTCTAAGAAAGGCATTAACAATGTCCTGTGGCCAAATACACACTGCCCATTTTCTGCTTTGAAACAGGGTCTCTTGTGAGTCACCACGCGGGCTTTAGGGCTTTATGTCATGCTGAGGGGCAAACTCTGGCCCCTGTGCTTGCTAGGTAAGCACTCTACAAACTTAGCCTCATCTTCAGCACTACCACTCCTCCCTTTCCCCCATGCTTGCCTGGAAGCCAGAGTTCAATTTAGATGTCTTTCTCAATTACTGTCCCTCCCACTTGGTTTTTGAGATTTTGAGATAGACTGTCTCTGAACCTGAAAGTCACCAGTTCCACTAGACTGGCCAGTGAACTCCAAAGAGTCACATATCTCTCCCTTCCCATTGCTAGAATTGCAGGCTTGCACCATGAGCCTAGCTTTTTATGTGGATGTGGGGATCCAGACCCAGGTCCCCATGGCACAGCAAACAGTTTACCAACTGAGCCCTCTCCCCAGTCCCAGCCGTGTGTTGTATTATATTTACTGTATGTAGATAGATGTGTGGTTGTGTGCACATGAGGGCCAGTGCCACTGGGAACCAGAGGCATCAGATTTTCCCGAAGCCGGGGTTACAAAAGCAGTCGTGAGTCATCACACGTAGGTGCTGGAAACTGAACTCGGGTCCTCTGCAAGAGCCTTACACACTCAACTGCTTAGCCATTACTCCAGCTCCATTCAGTATTTGCTGTCTGTTGTGCTTTCTACAAAAGTAGCCGAGTTGAAAAGTCCCCATGCCAGAAGTCTAAAGTGTTTCCTATCTGTCCTTTTACAGAAAGTATTTGCTGACCTCCTGTCCTGGAACAACATCTGGTATGATACATATTAAATCTTTTAAAAACTGGTTTTTAGGGGGGCTGAAGAGATGGCTCAGAGGTTAAGAACATTGGCTGTTCTTCCAGAGGTCCTGAGTTCAATTTCCAGCAACCTCATGGTGGCTCACAACCATCTGTAATGAGATCTGGTGCCGTTTTCTGGCATCCAAGCATACATTCAGGCAGAATATTGTATACATAATAAAAAGAATTACAAAAAATGGTTTTTATCTCACTATAAACTCATGCTGTCTGGAATTGACAACCCCCCTCCTGTCTTAGCCTCCTGAATGCTAGGAATGTGTGTTCCAGTATGCCTGGAAAAATTATTTATTTTAAAATTACCTTTATTTATTGTGTGTGAATGTATATGTATCATGTTGTCCATGTAGAAGTCAGAGGACAACTTGTCATTTCTCTTCTTCTGCTATGTTCTAGGGATTGAATACACATGGTCAGGCTTGGTGGTAAGAACTTTTACTCACTGAGCCTTCTTGCCAACCCCCGGCAAATTTTTAAACTTTCTATTGTAAATTCATATCATTGTCAGTCCCTTTATAAAGATTAAGCCCGTCATTAAAACTGTTTCATTTAAATCATGCAGTGGTAGCCCACACCTTTAATCTCAGCACTAGGGTGGCAGAGGCTGGTGGATCTCTGTTAGTTCAAGGCCAGCCTGGTCTACAGAGCTAGCTCCAGGACAGCCAGAAGTGCTACACACAGAAACCCTGTCTGGGAGCCGGGCGATGGTGGCGCACGCCTTTAATCCCAGCACTCGGGAGGCAGAGGCAGGCGGATCTCTGTGAGTTCGAGGCCAGTCTGGTCTACAGAGCTAGTCCCAGGACAGGCTCCAAAGCCACGGAGAAACCCTGTCTCGAAAAACCAAAAAAAAAAAAAAAAGAAACCCTGTCTGGGGCGTTCCAGAAAAAGGGACTATCTCATTTAATTTGAATACTAATCCAAGGTGGCAGAGTCACCCCATTTTGAAGAGGTACAGGATGATCAGTAAACTTAGTCAGCTTGTTAATACTCCCTCACTTCCAGGAACTAGACTTTTTTCAGCGTCCATATCCAAGAGATTGCTAAGACCTACCTGATTAGCCCACAGTGGCTTTTGAAATCTAGGATTTTAAAATTTTTTGTTGGGCTGGAGAGATGGCTCAGAGGTTAAGAGCATTGCCTGCTCTTCCAAAGGTCCTGAGTTCAATTCCCAGCAACCACATGGTGGCTCACAACCATCTGTAATGGGGTTTGGTGCCCTCTTCTGGCCTGCAGCATACACACAGACAGAATATTGAATACATAATAAATAAATAAATATTTAAAAAAAAATAAAATAAAATTTTTTGTTACCATATAGAATGGTAGGGTTTTTTGTTGTTGTTGTTGTTTGGTTGGTTTGGTTTGGTTTGGTTTGTGGTCTTGGGGGAGTTGTTTGTTTTGGTTTTGGTTTGATTTGGTTTTTCTTTCTTTTTTTTTTTGTTTTTCGAGACAGGGTTTCTCTGTGGCTTTGGAGCCTGTCCTGGCACTAGCTCTTGTAGACCAGGCTGGTCTCGAACTCACAGAGATCCGCCTGCCTCTGCCTCCAGAGTGCTGGGATTAAAGGTGTGCGCCACCACCGCCCGGCTTGATTTGGTTTTTCGAGACAGGGTTTCTCTATAGCCTTGGCCTTCCTAGAACTCCCACTGTAGACCAGGCTGGCCTCGAACTCAGAGAGATCACCTGCCTCTGCCTCCCAAGTGCTGAGATTAAAGGTGTGCACCACCACCACCCAGCTCAGAATAGGTTTTCTATGGCATTTTTATTTGTAGAAGTCACTATATTTTATTCTAATTTATCTCCATCACCCACTACCTCTCCATGTTCTCTTCCCCCTCTGATGGATTCCCTTACTCTCATTTCCCCTGCCCTCTTCTCATTATCCCCTTTCTAGTTTTATGATAGAAAATTTTTGAATGATTTTATTAAAGAACAGGAATTGAGGTGGACTTTGTCTTCCAGGACTTACATACAGTACATGAGTACAAGCAAGTTGCTAATATAGTGACTAGAATTGAAGCTCACACGCTGAAAGGAGAGGAAGCATCCTGGACGCTTTGTCACTTGTTTAACAGAAGAAAGAATCTCGTAAACTCTTCGGAAGCTGTAGTCAAGGGAATAAAAGAGGTACTACTTCTTTGTGGGAACTGTAGAAAAAAATGTTCTTAAATATGGTAAACATGAGAACACTGTAGTGATTTTGTGTTTTTCACAGATTTTCTGTTGTTAGATGAAATTTACCTCCCAGACTTATTGTGCAAATTGAGGTAACCTGAGCGTGAATAGCGTCGTAGACTTGCTCAGTAAATGTTCATTGCCTCCTACTGTTAAGAGGTAAGTATTCGAGAATATCAGGAATTGTATACATTTCAACATTTACTACATTACAATCATAAAAGCTTCTAATTTGAATTGTACACTGCAGTGTTTTTAATGGGTTCTTATATAATAGGACTTACCTAACAAAGTCTGAAGTTAGAGAGGTTCTGTGTATTCAGTCCAGGAGCAAGACTACAACTCTTTTTGGAACTAATGGCAACCTGTTGGTGAAGTAGGTTGGAGGGGTCAGTTCTTGTGTGTGGTTTAAATCAGAATTGGCTGGAGAACTGAACAAATGCCCAAGTTCTCCACTGATACCAGGCATGTATATGGTACACAGATATACATGCAAGTGGGCAAAATACCCATACATGTAAAATTATAAAAAAAGAAAATAATTTTCTTCAAACTTAAAAAAAGACCCCACAATAGGGGATTTTTAAAACTACATTTATATGGCATGTGAGTTTGCATAAAGGAAATACCGGTATTCTTATTTTTCACAACTTTTCTCTAAATTTAAAAGTATTTCCAAATAAAGAATAAGTGGGTCATCTGGATGTGACTCTGTTTTTCCAACAGCTCAAATGTCAGCACATTGTATCCTGCTGACTTTCAGAGTTCACCAGACCTGCTTCCCAACCTGTAGTATCTGTTTATTTGCATTGGTTCCAACATTAGTATCCCATTTCTTTTTTATTTCCTTCTTTATATTCAGAAAAATATCAGTACAAAGATTATAAAGGCATTAGGTATATCAGTCTCATAACTGAATATGAGGAGAAAATAGCCCAGTGTTTGCTCAGCATTGTCTTATGGTTGCTTAAATGAGCATGATTTTATTCCCAATGATTATCAGATTCCACCCAAGATGAACTGATTTTTTTTTTTTTGAGACAGGGTTCTCATGCATTCCAGGCTAACCTCAAATTTTCTCTGTATCTAAATATTGTGTTAAACTCATGTTCTTTTAGTCTCCATCCCAAGTGCTGGGATTGCAGGTGTACACATGCTAGGTTCCTGAATAATCTTAATCTAGAAAGATACTAATGTACAGTATCTTGTACAGTGGAGGTGGAAAAGTTTAGCTGATATTCTATCAAGTCTTTGAATGTTCTGCTGAAACTTTGCAGTCATTTTTTCCCTTCTGCTATTGAGAATAGAAGTCTTGAAAGTTGACTAGTTCACATTGCTGTATTATCTAATCTGCCACACCCATTTATATCACATTACTCTTTCAGAAAACATCACATGGATAACTGGCAGAAGTGCTAGTTCACACTCCAAGAGCTGCAACTAGTAAAGGCAAACTTAAAAAGATTGAACCATCTTTTTTTTTCTTTGCAGCTGTAAAGATGTCTGACAAAAAACGTATCATTGCCAAGGCTTCCCTGATTGAGCAGCTGGTGGCTAAAAGGTATTTTGAGGATATTGGCAAACATCTGACTGAACTTGAAATGATATATGTGTCTAAGGAACATCTCCAGGAAACAGAGTTAGTCAGAGCTGTATACAGAGTCCTCAAAAACTGCCCCTCCAGGGCTTTGAAAAGGAAGGCCAAGTGTCTGCTGGCAAAGTGGAGAACTTTCTATAAGAGTACACACCTCAAAACAAAGGAAAGCCTTAAATTATTCCCTTCTAATGTTAATGAAGAAAAACATGCAGAAGTTTCTCAGGAGGTGAGCCAGGATGGGGCATCAGGTTTTAGTTATGATGAGATAGCAGGTCTCTGCAGTTCTCTCTCTAGGCTGGCATCTCAAGATGCTGAAAAAAAGCACGCTGCAGCAATTGAGTCTGAAAGTAGCACCACTCAAATGGAAATTAATGAAGAATATTTGGGGGATGTTAACCCTGAATCTACTAGCAAGAGCTCAAGTGTGTTACAAGATCCCCTAGTGTCTCTTAGATCTAAATGCGTAGAGCTTCTTTACACAGCGTTAGCTCGTTTTTCCACAAATGGCATGAAAACTCATTTGTGGCAGAGATTTGCAAGAGAAATTGAAGAGTACATTTTTACCCTTTATTCAAGCAACATCAAAAAATGCAAAACTTGTATTCGAAGCAAAGTTGCCAATTTGAACAACCCCAGGAACTCTCATTTACAACAAAGCCTGCTGTCTGGAACCATGTCTACAAGAGAATTTGCTGAAATGACTGTCCTGGACATGGCAAATGAGGAACTGAAGCAGTTGAGAGCTTTCTACACAGAAGCCAGTATTCAGGAACATCACCTTCCCCACACAGTTGACGGCACACAGACAGATAAAATAAAGTGCAAGCGCTGTGAGGAATACAACTGCAAGGTCACTTTAATTGCCAGAGGAACACTTTTCCTTCCAGTTTGGGTGCAGAATTCAAACCCAGATGAACAAATGACCTATGTCATTTGTAATGAATGTGGGGAACAGTGGTACCATAACAACTGGGTGTGCTTGTAATTTGTATATAATCCCTTCAGGGTCATATGTTTTACATGTATAACCCTTTTGTGCCCATTTTTTATAGAATCTTACCGTTATTTTTTTGTCTGGGATTTTGGTTTGTGAATGAGCTCACTATGTAGCCAAAGCTGGCCTCGGTCTCTTGAGTGCTGGAATATTAAGTGTACGCTGTCACACCTGGCTGGGTATACTGTTCTACTCCAGTTCTTGGAACAAGGAACCAGAGTTGTTTGCCAAAGTTAAGGTCATTGTTGCTAAAAGTTGTTTTGGAAGAGTAGAAGACTATCACTCTGTACTTTGTGGCCATTTATAGAGTGGCAATGTAGTACCACATGGCCTAAGAACATGCTAGAGGGACAGACTCTGACCCTATACTCCTTTGAATCCTGATCTGCATCTTGGCAGAATCCCCAGATCATCCTCTGAGATACCTTGAGAAGCACTGATATTGCTACAGGCCTGTGGCTCTCAGGAGTGACTATACATTGGAGTTTACTGGAGAGCATTAAAAGTATACAGGTGCCAAGGGTCAAGCCTAGAATAATTCAGTCTGAACCTATGGCATGGGACCCAGGCATCAACATTGCTCTGGTTATTTCTCAGTTTAAGTTGCAGTTAGAGTTGAGAACTGCATGTAAATAGTCTCATTTGAACCTTTCTATAGTTCTGAAGAAATGAATGTTATTCTGGAGATATTACAGATGAGGAAAGAGGCCCACAGAGCCTCAGTGACTTAACCAGGTTACATAACTATAGGTAGTCTGCCTCATATTTTTCAGCTTCCTTATGACGCAAGTGTGATGGCTGTAATCCAAATGCTAGGGAGGATGAAGCAGGAGGATTTAAATGAGTTCAGGGGCAGTTTAGATTTTAAAGTCCCTGTCTCAAAAAATATTAAAAAGGCACTGTGGTGATTCAAGTTTGTAATCTTAGCACTGCGAATGCTAAGGCAGAAACCCGTGGGTTATGTAGAGAAACACTGTCAAAACTAAAGTATTCACAGTCTGAGAATGACTTGATACTGACTTTAGAAAAAGTCTACTCCTGGAAATGGGCGCTAAGCAAATAGTGTTTGGAGCCTCTAAGTTTACATGATTAGAGTTTTATTCTTTTGTCCTTAATTTTCTCATTTTTACATGTCTCTCTTAACCTATGAAAAGTTGCACTGTAAGTTAGAATCTGACTTAGAGCTTGCTTTTGCACTTAAATGAGCTGTGCATTTATTTTTTTCTTTGTGTGAGCTCTTCATAAAGTCTTTATGATAACTAGTTTCTTGATGTTAGGAATCTTCATTTCTTCAAAGTCATGTGTGTTAAAATCCTGCTTATATGAAAATGGCACTAGTTGTCAGAGGAAGTTCACTCCCTCAACCTTTGAATTTATCAACATTTATTTACCTACTAACTGAAGAGGAAATCATTCCTCTAAGGCCTTTCTAAACAGTGTTTACTGATTTATATGCTTAAATACAGCAAGCCATTTGTATGATTATGGCTAATTTTCTTCCTTAAAAATGATAGAATGTTATTTGGGGTTTTGATTTTTTAACATGTAAAAAATTTATGCATCCACACAGAAGCTTAGATATGCACTCCTTTTTCAGTTTACCAAGTGCTTAGATATCCATTTTATCTTTTGTTGTTTGCCAGACATTCATGAGTAGTTTCTGTTTTTATAAGACTGGTACCAACCTGTAGCCTAAGCTAGATTGAAACTCAGACTGGCTAGCCTTAATTTCTGGAGTGCTGTAATTTGGGGTGTAAACCATTTATTGATTTTATCATAATAAAGAGTTTATTTCTTAGTTCCACGTACGTTCACATGTTTTCTTCAGTTACTTTCCTCTAAATCCCCAATATTCCTTCATTGGAATCTGTAGGCTTTTCTTTAGGTATATTTTTTACCTCCTTATGACAGTTTCCCAATGGATGCATAAAACTAGCAGACATTTTTGTTTCATATGTTTTGAAGAAAACAACTTGAGACTGTCAAGTCTGAGTTACATTTTGTTGTATTTTCTCCATTTTGCATTCCAGGACTGTTCATCATAATGCAATGTGTTAGTACTTTAAACAGAAACTTATAGAGTCATCAAAAACTCAAAAGTTTCACAAAGTGTGGTTTCATGTGACTTGGAATGACCTTAAAACCTAAATGTTGGTTGTGCAAGACTACACACAGCACATGAAAACCATGCTTAATTTATTCAAGTCAGTATTGGTATTTGGGTTTTCTATGTATCTATGTATGAGTATTATATACTGAGATTTTATAAGCTACATTTACCAAAATGAAAGCACTTGAAATGGAAAAAAAACTCTTATTCTCCAAGATTTTTTTTAATGTGTGCAGTCTTCCTCACTTCCCATAAGCTTTGTCAGTTAGTTTTGCAACTAGGGAAATGGTGCTGTTGGTTTTATTCTTTTGGTCAGCGAGACAGTTACATTTTCTGAGTATAGATAATTCTTTTACATTCTGTCTTATCCCAGAGAGAGAGAAAGGGAGATGGAGGGAGGGGTTTGTTTATTTGTTTGTTTGTTTGTTTGAAACAGGGCTTCTTTGTGTAGCCTTTGTAGTCCTAGCTCTGTAGCTCTGTAGACCAGGCTAGCCTTGAACTCACAGAGATCTGCTTGTCTCTGCCTCCTGAGTGCTGGGATTAATGGTGTGAAAGAGGAGTTTCTTTACAGTTGCTGGTAGGGTAGGTTCTAATTTAAAATTACCCTTACAGGAACAAAGAGCGACTCTGAAAATGCCAAGATGGGAAGGTACCTGATTATAAGGAACAGCTTATGTAAATGAGAGACAGTGTAAAAGAGCCAAGAGTTCATGAGTTCCGTTGTAGGTCATGATAACAATGAGGACTTTGGGGGGATAGGGTGGTTTGTGTTTAAAAAAAAAACCCACTAAAGCTAGGCAATTTGTAGTCATGGAATCTGAGTGTCTTTTTTTTTTAAATATTTATTTATTTATTTATTTATTTATTATGTATACAATATTCTTTCTGCGTGTATGCCTGAAGACCAGAAGAGGGCCCCAGACCTCATTTCAGATGGTTGTGAGCCACCATGTGGTTGCTGGGAATTGAACTCAGGACCTTTGGAAGAGCAGGCAGTGCTCTTAACCACTGAGCCATCTCTCCAGCCCCCTGAGTGTCTTTTAGGAAGATGATTGTAGCTGCTTTGTTGAGTGATGAGAGAAACAAGGATGGATGTGGGAACATCGGTTAAGTGGCCATTGACAATGGTTAAATGTATAGAAAGGGCTGAAGAGAGGGCTCAGCAGTTAAGACCACTGGCTGCTCTTCCAGAGGACCTAGATTCAATACCCAGTACCCACATGGCAGCTCATAACTCTATAACTCCAGTTCCAGGGAATCTGGCACCCTCACAAAGATGTACATGCAGACAAAACTCGAATGTGCATAAATTTTTGTAAATAAAAAAGTATAGAATGGTTTGTCTGGATCCTGATAGTTGATGAAACCCTTAGCAATTTCGCAAATGACTGTTTCATAAAATATGTCCAATCAAAAATTTCCTCCCTGTGGCCAATAGTCAAATAACAGTGCAAAATGTCAGCTTGTGCCCCAGTCTCCATGGTAACTACATAGGGTGAAAACATCCATTTTAATACCTGAATGTGGGAAGGTTTTCTCCATGGCTTTTTCCGAATCAGTCTCCTTTGTCCATACTTTTTTAACGTGAAGAACTGAGTACAATTGTGGCTCTGTCTCTTCCCTGGGTATTTCCTGTGATGAGAGCCTTCTTTCATTTCCAGATACCATTTCTAAGTGCCAGGCAGAAAGCTTGTGGCTGGCAGTACTCCATTGCCTTTGCTCAAAGGGTCTGGACCTTCCTCTTTTAGGTCAAATTGCTTTGTTTTTATAATGCCCAGTAAATGTAAAATATTTTGCCCCAGTTTTTTATGTCTCTCAGAGGTACTTATTGTAAGCACCCAGGTTGTAAGCAGTAACTTTTTAGTCTCAGAAGAGTGCCACAATCAGATGGACGAACCAATGGCAACCTCATGTAATCCTATTCATATTTAAAGTGAGGTGGCCAAAGATGCTACCACACACTGCCAGAAACTTGGTGTTGGAAGGATTACACATTTTGCCTTGCCAGGCACTAACTCTTCTGACACACAGGAACCTCCTTGAATCCTTTTTTGTGACATCATGTGGCCATCTGCTATTTTGAAAAGTAAGTGATTTTAGAATAAAATGTTAAAAATTAAAATAGAATACAAGGTAGCTGAGGCTGGCCTCAAAGTTCATATATGAATTTTCGTGGATGTATATTCTTTTTTTTTTTTTTTGGTTTTTCGAGACAGGGTTTCTCTGTGGTTTTTTGGAGCCTGTCCTGGAACTAGTTCTTGTAGACCAGGCTGGTCTCGAACTCACAGAGATCCGCCTGCGTCTGCCTCCCAAGTGCTGGGATTAAAGGCGTGCGCCACCACCGCCCGGCTGGATGTATATTCTTGCCTTCTTTAAAAATGAAAATGAGCTGGGCAGTGGTGGTGCATACCTTTAATCCCAGCACTAGGGAGGCAGAAGCAAGTGGATCCCTGAGTTTAAAACTGGTCTACAGAGCAAGTTCAGGATAGGCAGGGCTACACAGAGACACCCTGTCTTGAAAAAAAAATAATAAAACGAAACCTGAATATGAGAATCAGTTCAAGGTTCTTGTCATTGTCATCATCATCACTATTACTATTTGGGACAGCTTCTCATGTAGACCAGGGTTTGACCACACTACGAAACCATAACCAAAGATGACCTTGAGCTTCCGATCCTTTTGTTCCCACCTTCCCAGTGCTAGGATTACAGGCATATACCATCATGCCTGGTTTTATGGGGTACTGAAGATGGAACCCAGGGCTTTGTGCATTCTAGGCAAATGCTCTACTGACTGAACCACATCCCTAGCCCTGTTAATCCTTTTCAAATAATGACACATTTCTGAAAATCTAAAACAGGCATGGAAGAGTTACTGAAGTAAGAAGCAAATTGAAATATTATTCATTTAGAAACCATGTTTTATCTTCAAAATATAACCACTTCTGAAATGATGTAAACATAGATGCAGCTGCTTATAAAAGATACCAAATGGCATCATAATTCACCAAATTTGCCTTTGTGGATTGAAACAAAAATTTAAGAAATTTCCAAGAGTACCCATGAGGCCCTGAGTCCTCTGACTGGACTCCACCTACTGTGCCTCTCCTTAAATCGGTGGATCTCAAGTTCCCTGATGCTGTGACACTTTAGTACAGTTCCTCATGCTATGATGATGCCTAACCATAAAATTATTTCTGTTGCTACTTCATAACTGTAATTTTGCACTGTTACAAATCATAATGAAAATATCTGTTTCCAGTGGTCTTAGGCAACCCCTGTGAAAAGGCCACTCGACCCCCCAAAGGGATCAAGACCCTCCGGTTGAGAACCATTGCCTTAAATGATGGAGGATCCCAAACTACAAAAGTGGTTTCACTTTCCTTCCTTGGCCACAATATGACCACAGTATGGCATTTATCCAATCTGCATTGGCCATAATTCATATCGGACAGGCACGGCTCAGTGGAAGAAAGCTGGAGTCTGTATCCACTCATGTCTAACAGCAAAGGATTGATCCCGCAATTTAAGTGGGCTATGTCTTGCTATTCATGAGGCCACTGGGTAGGCTTGTCTTAGTTTTAGCATCTTTTCAGGCAGAAATGTCTCTTTCTGCAGTATTGTTTCCATTCAGTAGATGGACTTTTTGCTCACAGCAGACTCCTCACAAAGGGTTGAGCAGGAAGTTTCTGTATATCTTGAGGGAACATATTTTAAAATGAGATAGAAGTGACACACGATGTTTCAGAAGTAATAAAAATGTGTGATGGCCTGGTGTGCACAGGCTTTTAATCACAGCACTCAGGAGGCAAAGGCTAGGTGGATTTCTGTAATTCCAGGC